TAGTAATACATGTAATGAAAGTATTAATAATAAATAAAGTCATGGGCAAGATCCCACCTGAACACCAAAAAAAAAAAAAAAGTAAATAGAAAAGACGATTACAATCAACTGCAAACACTATTTTCTTCATTAGTCAGTGATATATCAAACCATGTTCTGAAAGTATAGAAAGTAGTTAGACATCGATCTCAGCAGACAATGCCCTAGTATATTATTTTACTTAATGATAGTTCTCATCTATACACTTGTTTTTGGCTTATAAACCAGAGCATTGTCTGCAAACACTTTTTCAGAATTATGTTCTACTCTTAAAATATATGCTTTCATATTATTTTTATTCTATAATGATCATTGATTAACAAATTCATTACTTGACTCCAGTATACAAAGTTAGTGAAACAAATTGAATCAGCTTCCTTTTTAACCATTACAATTCAATCATCTTGTAAATATCAGAAAGATAATTTACATTGAGAAAAAACAAGGTTCTAAGCAAAAATATGGTTTTGGAATAAGCTATGCAAAAAAAGCACTAAATAATGTGATTCAGGCTGATAAAGTTAATGAATTTGTTAATTACTTAGAAAGATTTATTAAAACAATGAAAGATGATTTAGACAAGCAACAGAAAAATGCTAATGATATTAAAAATTTAGCTATTGATGATCCAATACATGTATGGCATAAAGGGCGTCAACCCAACTATTATAAATCAGAAGGTGAAGGGTCATCAAAGAAAAAAGCATGAAATTTGTAAAAAAATACAGCCAATTAAACCTTAAGTAATAGTGATGAGTTGAATCATAATATTAGTAACCCAAAACATGTTAGATACTGCTATAAATATAAACAAGCAGGTCATTATGTATCAATATGTTCAAATTTGTAATAGTGAACATTATGTAAGGGTTTATTGTATGCACATTTAAATAAATAAGCCATTGTTTCACTTTATACTGTTATATTGATATGATTTCTTTTGTGGTTTATTAAAGCTTGATTTGGAAGTAATATCAGGTATATAATACATTGCTTATTTGTATATAAGTATCTAGTTATATACAGTACTATATATATTTATTGTGTAGGTTACAGGGCGAAATGCATAATAGCTTATTTAAGGAAATTTACTTTTCAAAATTTCATCTATAAACCAGTTTTTTGATATAAATTTTGTTTAAATCTTTTTAATATTTTTATATACATATTTAATACTATATATATAATTATAATTATATATTATTTATATAAATAAATACTATTAGTCAGTGTTGTTACATAATTAGGTTATATCACCAGAGTAAGTTAGCAATATTCTTATACAAAATACTAAATTACTTAAAATTTTACTAATAAATAGTACTTTGATATAATAAATAAACTTGTTTAGCACATAAAAAAATATAAATTTTTTAAATTTCAAACTGTTTGCAAACTTTAAAACCAAACTTGAATTGATTTTAAACTTAATTAAAAAGTTTGAAATCAAATCAAATTAAACTTGATTTTAAAAAAAGTTTAAGTTTAAGTCTGGTTTGAAAATCAAATCAAACTTAAACTTGACTAAAAGTTTAATCCAATCTAGTCTAATAGAAGCACTAGTTTGTAACAACACTACCTTATGCAATATCTTAAAAACATACTAGTTAACACATCTTGAAATACTAAATAAAATGTTTAAAATCCCCAAAAACTTTATAAAAACTAAAATTGGAACCTATCAGAACCTTATGTCTAATATATATTGTATAATAATAAAAAACCTCTATATATCTTAAAACTGAACTATAACTCTAAATAAAACTATATAGGTGTTATACAGTATTAATACAGTGTTATAAATATAATATTTTTTTATAATTATTAAATATTCAATAAATATTTAGTAAATATTTAAATAAAGTTAAGTCAAGCAAATTTTTTTTTAAATATATTTTTTTAAACAATAACTAAACAAAAACTTAATCAAACTTAATAAAAATTTTTTACAAATTTATAAAATTTATTTAAAAAAATTTTTTTATAAATTTGATTAAATTTTTGTTAAGTTGCTTAATTTCTACTAACTTCCCTAATATTATTTAAAAATATTAAACAAATACAATATTTATATACTTCGTTTTTACCAAATCAAATCTTTAAAAAATTTTATTAAATTTTGTTAAATATTTTAATTTAAAATAATTTATTTTTTCTCCAAATTACTTTTTTTTTTTAAAAAAAAACATAATTGTGCCTAATTTCACATTATATCTGATCTTAAATTTTGATTGGTTATAATAGCATTATACTACTAGTAAAAAAATACTTAAGCCCAAACATATTTCATTTTTTATTTCTTCATTATAATGGTAAACAGGAAAAGGCAACACCCGAAATACTTATTTTAGAAAACATTATAAGCATTATTACTGTTTTCACAACTAATACTTACACCACCGGAAAAATGCATAGCAAGAAATCAATATAAACAGAAAGAAAAACATAATAAAGAAAAACAGCATAAAAATATCTATGAAACTACAAATAATTACTAGTAAATATGTTGGCATAGTAAAATAACGAAACTCCTTACTATAAATCCCGCAACGAAAATTTTATCGGAGACTATATATCCTGATACCATGTTATATATCCATGTCTGGGCTTTCATCTTCGTCTGAATATGTATCTACAGAACTTACTTCATCGCTAGAAGAACTTTCATCTGTCGCAGCATCTGCTGCTTCTTTTGTAGCAAACCTGCTAACGTACTCTATGAAATTTATGAGTTATGTTAAATTTAACAAGGCATTGAACCACACAAAAAGAAATCATGACTAAATTATAAAAAGGATAAACTATTACCTTTTACTTTGACTTCATATGTGTGTGGCTCCCTCATTAGTAGGGCGGCAGCTTCACCGTTGAGAGGATCTGTAGGATTTGGATACCTCAAAAGCTGAGGGAGGAAAACCTCGAAAATGTTGATCATATCTGTGAATATTTTTCATATTTTACAATAAGAACCAGATTTAACGTTGCTAAAAAATGTACTATAAATGTACATCGTAAAAAGCGCACCAAACATCGGGCTCCATGTTTGATTAATTACGTCAAGACAAACAGATCCACTTCTAAGTTCGTATTCATATTAATCGTTTTTTGATTAGCAGTCAATCAAAAATAAATAATGCTAAAATATTATTTTAACCGAACAGTTTTTATAATGGTTCTAATGGAAAGTATACTACTCACAGTTCGTCAATATTGGGATGAAAAATTTTATTCATAAACCCAATCGACGGTGATTTGAATGGATATTGATCAGGTAGTTCAACATGGACTTTCCATACACCACCAGAAAAGGGTGCTAAAATATAATAAGACATATTATCAAGCGTTGAGAACAAAAGCAATTATATTAAAGAACATTCGACTTACTATCTTCGGGTCCATGAAACCGAACATAAAATTCCTGCATGTTGTCATTGACAAGAGTAACTTCATAGTCACTCATTAGGCTTGAGGCATAAATTAGTCCATATGAGGATTTCAAATTTGTTGTGAATGATATCAATCGAAGTATGCGTTTACTTTGAACTAAAAAAGTATATCTAGCACGACTTACAGCTTCATTACATCTGTCTCGATCCTTCTACGTGGCGTTGACATTTGCAACTGTACTTTTGTTGAGTTTATTTCTTGTAAAACGGATAAATTGAGTATCAAAGAATATTTATGATGACTCTAGTGCAGAAGAAATATATGTTAAAATTGGCGAGATGATATGGGGAAAATGTACAATATTAATCACATGGTCCGGGTACGAACACAGGTATAAATCATTACACAGGTATTGCATATTGCATCAGCATTACTCATCGTTTTTATCGTTATAAACACAGTACTTATAATAATCACGTGAATATCACGCGTTTAGGAATTATACTTGTGAAATACATTCGTTCATTTATTCTTTTTTTGTAAAGCTACAGATTCATTTGTTCTTATTTTGTAGAAAGAATCTATCAGACAAATTAAAGGTATTATAAAATAAGGAAAATAAAAGGTCAATAAAAGAATTCTTTGATTTTTCAATAATCCTTCATGTTCTCCAAAGAACAGTTCACTAAGACATTCGAAGGTTGTAGTGGAAACATGTACGGAATAAATTAACATCGGAAGACGAACACTCAAACTATCTGTATCAATTCATAAAAATTAACAAATTTATATATTTTGAACATATAATGACAGACATTCTTTACCTTTCAATAATCCAATAGCTGCATAAATAAAAAGAGGTATTGACAAAGCCTCAATATACAAACAAGAAACAAACCATGTTGGGCTTTTTACGAAAAATGGATCGTTGAAATTTTCAATGTACCATTGATTTATAGAGGTTAAAGCGCTGGGTGCGAATGACTTATAAATAGGATATGTGTCAATTAACACAGCGGCTAGAATGTGGGTAATAAAATATATGAAGTATACTAAATCTTATGATTAAAAATTTAGTGAAAAGACAAAAAAGAATTAGTATTAAGTTACAAAATAAAAGGTAAAAAGTAGATAAAATTGTATACCAAGAGGCCGGGAAAAAAGAGAAGCCATGATAACGATCAACATCGTTTTCATATGGGCTCATTTGAAAGTTTTTTTCTGGTTTGTACAACAAGCTGTACCAATCAGATCTAAAGTCAAACCTCTTTAAGTGCGCATAGTCAAAAGTAGCGCCTGATAATAATAAAATAGGATTATCGCTAATTTGCCATTGACCAAAATTTATGCCATACCATACTCTAGGCATGCCTAGTCATGTCAAATAGCCAAGTTCTACCGGTAGCTACTGGTAGGTGTTTGCTACCAGTAGGTACTAGGCTAGAATCTATATGATTTGAAAGTTAACTTATTGGTAGCTGCTTTGCATATTACGTAAACAGCAGGGACAGTGCCCACTATGTAGAATGTAGTTTAACGTTACATAACTTATAAAAAATTTTTTTTATATTAT